TATGGTTTTATTATGGTATACTGTTCTTTAATAATGAGACCTCCTTACAGTGCTTCCATTACTAAATTTTAGAAAACACAGAGATTAAATCTGACATTATGTCAGCCTTATAAAAGACCCTTTGAAGCTCAAAATTCTAGTAGAAATATAAATATAAATACTAGTTTCCTGACTTGTAACTTTATTAGATTACTAAGCACAAACCTCAATGGTCTGTACCAGGATTCCTTATAAACCAAAGAAAATATTTCCTTAAGATTTCAATATAGAAAAATTATTACCATAATTTTTAATAACTAATATTATTTTTATTTATTAATTTAAAAATTATTATTAGAAAACATGGAACAAATAAGGGGTTTTCCATATATAAATAGTTTAACTTCCTTGTCAATGTTAAGATAACCCAAGACTAAAAATAATTATTAACTGATGTTATTTATAGCAGTGTCGAATCTTAAATATATGTGTAGTTGTTTTACAATCATTTTGTATAAAAGAAAAAAAGTTTCAAAAATTATCAGGTTCATGATAAATAGACTATGCACAAATAAATCCTATCTCTATTTTATATATGTGCTGAATTGTAAAAAATACAATAACAACGCCGATACTGAAATATTGTATTTTCTGTTATAAAAGGTCAACAAGTTTATATGTTTTTTCACTTCATTTGCAATCTTAGGTAAATTTGCATTATCTAAGAATTCCTTAATTTGGTCCTCAGAAGTTTCGTCTTTACTATATAGTTGCTGAAAAAAACCTTGAATAATTTCCTGTTTCTCCCCCTTGGTTTCTACTAATTCCCCTTTACTATTCTGCAGTTGTGCTAAATATCTGCTCTCTCTTTCTTTCCGAAGTCTATATGAGAGCCAACGGGCCGGTTTGTTAGCATGCTCAAAAAAGTTTTGCTTAATCCCCCTAAGTTTCCGAGCAACATCCTCCTGGTCTAGAAGAGATATCCTGTGCTTAATTCTAGCCATTTCTTCTTTTTTTATTATCATCTAATGGGTCCTGTTGCAAGCCTTTTTCCACCACCTCCAATTTGGCTACCCATCTTGCCCTCTCTTCTAATTTTTTCCTCTGTGTGCCTGTTGTATATTTAATAGCTGGGCTCCTCATATAAGCCTTGGCCGTATCCCAAAGCATTTGTGGAGTTACTCCCTTCCTATTTTCTTCAAAAAAAAAACAAACCTCATTTCCCTTTTAAACATTTGTTGAAATTCTTGTTCTTTCACTATCTCTG